GGAACCATCTAATTTGTTGTCACATTAACTAATTAAAGAGACATGGAAGATAGCTACCATGCATTTTGATTAAGAATTATACCTTTGCGTTTTATTTGTTACCATATTTTAAACTGACGAATTATTGTTATTGAATCAACAAGGTGTTCATAATATGTCAAAATATATCGATCTGTTATTGCTACATGATGTTCCCCTTCAAATAAAATATAACAAGTTGCTGAAATCCTAATCTAGTCTTACTATGAGTTTGAACTAAAAAGACGAATATCATGCACTCAGAATTTCTAATTACAACTTGAAAAAGCTTATCATTGCCATAGAAACAAAGATTTCATAAAGCAAAAATCTACTTTACACATCAGGCTGAGTGAAAAGAAGGATTTAGGTCCTACAAATAACCAAACATTAAGCTATTGGCCTTCTTACGCAAAACCAAACTTAGTAAATAAAGCTAAGCTTCATATTACAACCCCTTTTATTTCCCATACTTTTACCCTTTGAACTGTAAGTACATCAAAATTATCCTCCCTTCCTCCCCCAAGTACACACCGTACATACTAAGTATATATACGCTACTTCTACGTACACCGCTCGTAATAATAATCTTCACATAACGTAGCACCCACTTCCATTTTCATCGTCAACGAACTTATCATCATCATTATCGATAGAATAGGACGGCAGAGGAAAAGGGACATGCCCGGCTGAGAATACGTAGTGGTATGCATGGGATCAGGAGCAAAGTATGAGGTACTTGTACTGTTAGGGTACGCCGTATTGTAACTTAGCCCGTACGTTGGAGGTGGATAGTACATTGATGTTGGGTACGGGCCGGGGTACGTATGCCGAACTGGTGGGCCAAGATTCATGGAGGCCATCGGCTGAGTCATGTCTGGCCCACCGGCCATATACGGCTCAATACTGCCCGCAGGAGGCGGATCATGTCCAAAATTTTCTCGCCGAGGTTGGCACCGCCGCCAGTGGGGGAATTACCATTTTGCGCTTTCTTCTTCTTCTTCTTTTTCTTCTTTTTGGCCCCAGTACTTGCACTATTTCCACCACCAGCACCAACAGTAGGACTAATACCACTTTCTCCACCAGCTTCATTACTCTCGCCACCCTCTGCGTCGGACTCACCGCCGTCGTCAGCATCATCACCGCCGTCGGTTTTATCCGGTTGATCATGATCACCATCTTGTTCATGGTTATGATCTTCAGGCTGCTTCTCATTGTTATTACTATTATTCTTTGATTTCCCGGACTTTTTCGCTTTCTTAACTTCTGGCCAAAGCTCAGCATGCTTCCCTGACTTCCACAGCTTCTTCAGTAGGGTCTCCGCCTCCACGTTGCCCGTCACAGTCACCTTGTGCTGCTGCGAATCAATCTCCGTCGTGTAAACCCCTGATCATGTCAATTAATCAAAACACGAACGCATACGAGTGAACACATGCGCCGCAACCAGACAAAATATCACGAAACGTTTGATACCATTTCGTTTTACGATACGTTTGATACCATTTCGTGTTTAATTTTTAAACTTTGTGCCAGAGATAAAAGAAAAGTATAACGAAAAAAAAAACGCATGGTCAGAGGAACGAGCGGAGAAGTGAAGGAGAATGTATAAACGTGCCTTCGATGTTTTGAAGGACTTTCTTGACCTTCTTCCTGCATCCTTCACAGTGGATTGAGACTTTCAAAACCCATGTCTGCAGAACGGAGGAGATGATCAACTTATAATTTGTGATGAAAAAAACTTGAAAAATAATGAGAAAAAGGACAAAAATATTGTACTAATTACCTGGTATTTTAAGGTTCCAGGAGCTTCTTCAGCTGGTTTTGTTGCCATTGATGAGAGAGAGAGAGAGAGAGAGAGAGAGACTGATGAAGTGGGAATAAGGAAGGTGGGGAGCTTTGAGGGAATGTGTGCTGAGGTTTAAAGAGTGGGAAGAAAGCATTTGGTTTGGCCATGGTCTGGATGCCACGTCAACTTCCACACACCAATGGACCACTGCAGATCTGACACGTCATCAAACTCACGTGACCCTCCCATGAAGACCCCACTACATCTCAACCAACTGAATTCAACTTCACAAACTCACAAGCTTACTGATTAAATTTCATATTTTTATCTGAAGGTTATGAAGGTCACGCAGAAGGCTTGATTGCAAAACAATCACGCACTAATATGCATTTTTTAACGATATGATTATAAATCGGCAAATGAAAATATCATTGTATAGGAATATATCAAATCAATCACTTATGGATATTCATTTTAACTTTTTCATATGATAGATAGTCCGGCTCAGTGACATCCATTGACCCACAACATACAGTTCCAGATGTCAATCTAATCTCTGCCCGTGAGGAGGGATGAGAACCTTTTGATGGATGATCAGCTTTGTATTGCATCTTTTGCTATTATAAATAAAATCGGACGGTCTTTATTCTTTTTCAAGGATTTAATCATCGACTTTTATGAGTACAGATCTTCTCCGGATCTAAAACGGATCCTAATGATTAAATAATCTGAACTGTTAAAATTTGATCTAACGGTTACAAATAAGGGCATCTTTAAAAGTTATAATAATTGTAGCTGTTTGATCAAATTTCAACGGTTCGAATCATTTGATCCTTAGACTCCGTTTTTTTAGATCTGAAAAGGATTTGTACTCGACTTTTACAGCCACTGATATAATTGACTCGGATTGGCCCTAAGCTTACCTACCCTCAAAAGGATGCTGCTCAGAACTTCATAGGCCTAGAAGTTCCTTGCAAGTAATCCAGGAAGAAGAGCTATGAATGAAGATTCTAGTAACAAATGGACAAGCGTGTATGCACTCGAGGAGATTCTTCTTATAATCAGGTGCATACTTTCAAGTCATGTAACGAGAGAGAGATAGGAATAAAGATTCAAGTGAGTAATCTAGAAAGCAAAGTTACAAATGTTCGTCACTATTTTTGGACTAATCTAGATTGAGCTATACGATACGAAGGAACATCTATCTTGTAACCAGCTGTATACATTCATGTCATATAATTATTTTGATCCAGCAAGTGCTAGAATCCACTGGACTTAAAGCTGCCCTCTACAGTTTTTTGATCCGGAAAAAGCTGCGTTGTTCACAGTGAACATGTCCTCCTGCAATATTCAAGAACAACAATTGTACAAAGTTTGGTGGTGTGTAAAGTAAAAGTAATTGAGTTAGAAAAGACAACAGGCAATTGGCAACTTCCTTTGCTCTGGGCCATTGCCGTTGTGCGTTTGTGCTTTCAATGAACTTTTAGATGGGGGTTTTGGATCGTCTTCAGGAAAACAACTTGGATGTAACAGGTTAACTATTATTGTACTCCGTGACATTTTATGTCAATAATATAATATCATATAAAGAAAAACTTATTCAAAAAGACATTATATTTTTGAATCGGGATGTCGGGTAGCAGTGAATCCGTTCGATAGAAGTCCTCATATTCTCATGCAAGCAATCAATTTAAGGATGCAGAAAAATTAAAATTAAAAAAAGAAAATTCCAGACAAAGAAAATGATTTTCACGAGTCGAATTTTCAAATGCGTAGTGCATATTATACAATTACACTAAATAAAATGCCTTCCCTTCGTCTAATTCTAGAGCAGGCCAAGCAGCTTTTACTATGGAAAAGAATACAAACAGCTAATAGTTAACAATTATTGTGATTGCCAGCAGTATACGTCGTTTCTGTAAATCAAAAGGCAAAAACGATATATACGAAGTATGATTTTGAAGGATCGTAATTAAGTTACGTCAACATCTTGTGTTGATCGAGATAAAAAGAAAATGAAAGAGAAAGGAGGAGAAGTGAGAAGATTTGAAGATGAGAGAATCCTACTCATATATGCACACAAAACCTAACAACGAAAACATTCAAAGATAATCGAAAAAGATCAAATGGTTATCACTAAACAGCGGAAGCACTTTCGATGAGAGATTATTTTAGAAGTAGAGATATCATATATAATCCGGCTATGGACAAAAGTTCATCCTTTATTAAAGAATGTAATATCGATATGTCTTATAATATCATTTTAATCGCCAACAAAAAGTATCAACATATTATTAATACATTTTCAACAATATTGACACAACATCAATTGAAAGAACTAACATTCTACACAAGAGCGGATGTCATTGGGACCAAGGTGGTCTTATAACCAACTGGAGGCCAAAAAACACGGATGTGAAGGTCTTTTGGAAACCCTTCGAATGTTTGGTATGGGTCATTTTTGTGCCCACCAAATGCTTAATGTAATGTTTGCTAGACATATCTCAGTAGGTTGTGTTGACAACACTCGACAAAGATTCTCAATAGCACTCATCAGATTATCTATATTTGTTGACAAGCAACATGGTTTGGCTGACAACAAGAAGCCTTCCAAGTGTTTGACGAAAATTCTTGAATAAACAGATTTTTTTTTTTATGCGCCACTTCATGCTCTGTTTCTATCTAAAAATCTTAGACGTTTAACTCTGAACCCCCTTGAAGTTCAAATCCTAGATCTGCAACTGATGCTACATAAAGACTCCTACACAATATCGATACAAAAAATTCCATGTCATCATAGCAGACAATACGGTAAAGGGGTTTCACTTATCTGCACTTTATATGAACCAATGGATTAGCCAGGTCATGAGCACTAGAGTGATTTGTGACACAACTTGGCACTCCAAATCATTCTTGCTTTATCAAATAATACTCATCCAATCTCAGAAAAGAAATTAATTAACTTAATCAAACAACATCCTAATTACTGCAGTCCATATAATCACGTAAAAGGACTCGACACCCTCAACATTTCAATGGTCACCCCTCTTCCTATCTATCTCATGACGTCCTCCTATCTCTATGTCGTGTCAGGAGAGAGATAGGAATAGAGGGTCTGTGAAACTGGTGTATGGAAACGTACCGAGTTATTAAAAAGAAATATAACCTACAAAAACTCAAAAAATGGAACCTCGTGTACAAAAGCCTTAGGTAAATGCATTGAATCATTCTTCACTGCTGCTACAAAACAAAAGGTTAAGCTTCTTGTTCTATGAATGACAGATCAAGTTCTCAACAAGTACAATTCCAAGGTTGCTATGAACTATAAGTTTATAAAACTTTCTTGAATATAAGAACACCTACGATAATGGAGACAAGAACGGACGAGGCACCTTGTCTAGAAAGCCCAAATTCGGTCCATGTCAAGGGCTTTGTGACCTCAAGTAAGACGTTGCGGAACTGTACTCTTAAATCTTCTAGTGATCCAGTGTTATCAACCACTATGTCTGCCCTGGTCCGTTTTATATCGAGTGACATCTGAGCATTTATCCTGTTTCCAGCATCCTCCTCACTTGTTCTGTCCCTCGACATGAGTCTCCGGAGCTGCGTTTCAGGATCAACCCATACAACAACAATAGGCTTTGTCCATTTGTCCATCTTGGCCTCGAACAACAGAGGAACATCAAGAACAATAACCTTACACCCCTTCATCCATAGCTTCAAAGTTTCCCAAAAGATTCCAGACGATATATAAGGAGCTAGCAGTCTACAAGAAGATAAAAACTAGAGATTATAGCTGATATGATATGTAACTTGTGCGGTAAACTACACCTAACTAAATCCTCTCATAAAGTGGGACGAAAACAATTTGAATTCAACAAAATGTAACTGGACAAAACTAGAGATTATAGCCAATTCCTTTTAGTAAAAGGAATCGGCATTATTTCTGCAGTTTTTAAGAAATCACATGTGAATTTTGACCTTGACGCGTCAAAACTTGAGGGAGTACTATGGAGCCTATATGGTATAATTGCACAACCATAAGGGAAGTTTCTTTCCTTGGCCTCTCTAGGTTTTACACATAATGCAACACTATAGTTCCAACAAGAAGCCAGGAAATCCAATGGTGACTAAATTAAGAAACGAGTTTGATTTACTCAACTGCACTAGGGATAATGTAGAATCATATAGCAAAATGTTTAACAGAGCGGTACTCAATAAAATCGCAAACAAAAACTAGAGCTACTCGCAAAGGGGTAGTACCTACCGGTTAAGAAGTTGGCGCTTTTCTGGATTAGAGAACACAATTTGTCCCAGTTTAGGCCTATCAACTTCTCCATCTGGTTGCAAAATGTCATCTCCAAATGCTGAAACAACGTTTTTCCAGCCACCAGTGCCCTTCTTCAACACATCCTGAAACCAAAAAAATACTCAGTCCGCGAAACAGCCGAAAACAACACATTGCCATCAAATTCTTCCATGACATTGTCAAAAGCATAAATTTCATAGTCTGATCATCACTCACTCGAGCAACAAGATCGGCATCAGCGACTGGAATGCCACGTTCCTTGAAGAGATTCGAGACGGTACTCTTCCCGGAAGCAATTCCACCTGTCAACCCCACTATCCTCATTCGTTCTGCTCCTTCTGTTAGCAATTGATCCTACTATGCTACAACATTTGAAGCAGAATTACTTACAAAATTAAAGTAAATTAGCAAACCTTAAACATAATACTCGATAGTTTAATGGATTGGAATTTTGGGTTCCTAGAAATGAAGAGCCTTTGCTCTTCCCTGTAATTATTTCATAGTTTCGATTGCTTTTTTCTTAGTTCTCACTGTAAAAGACAAGAACTTTTCTACCTTGAAAAAGCGCTTGAAACAGGTGGTGTATGAGACTTTCCGACTTCGATCCGCCCAACGGGATGGCGGGTGGCCTGGCCTTTGAAGATCGGACGACGAGGAGGAGAACCAAGTCGGCGGCGAACTGGACGTGGCCGGATGGCGCCGGAGACTTGAAAAGCAGAGGCGCGGTACTGTTCGCGCAAGGAGATATTGAGGGGACGAGCACAGGTCTGACACGCCTGCCAAATGCTGCTGCTACACATGTAGCGGTAAGCCCAAGAAAAAGAGCTGAAACACAGTTTATCAGCCTTTACTTGATTCACTTAGCAAGAAGCGCATCTGGTGTAGTGGTATCATAGTACCCTCCCACGGTACTGACCAGGGTTCGATTCCCTGGATGCGCACGTTTATTTATTTATTATATATATATATATTTTTTTTTTGTGACCATTCATTTGAAATTTGATACTTCAGAACCAATACATTCTTAGAAAAGCACTTGAAAGCTTTTTAAGCACGTACTTGTAAGCCTCTGTTTCTATTTTCATTTCAGAATGCTTATAAGCGGGGCCAGTCCTAAGTATTTAGTAGTTCTGTCTAAAACTTAGATGGAGGTCCTTTATTTATTTTTTAATGTTATATTTCTTTATTATTTATTTTTTCAATTTTTTTCATCTATAAAACTAAAATATTACAAGTTATTGCAATATAAATAAGTTGTTTCATCGTCTAGGTTTTTTCCCTTACCTTCAAAGGTCTTGAGTTCGATACATGTTGGATGCGTTTTTGTTTTTTAAGTTTACAAATTTGCAAAAGCTTAAAATAGCAAAGCAATATCATAGGGATTCAAACCTAGCACATGGGCTATAAGGAAGAAGGGATAAACCGCTAGTGCTAGAACCATGGATAATGTTTCTTTTTCATCTAATCTATTTTATATGCATCTGTATACATGTAATGAAAATTTGGGGTCCTTCCGAATTGGAGGCCTTGTGCGGTGACACCTTTTGCACACCCTCAAGATCGACTCTGCTTATAAGGAACACTTTTGCTCATTAGTGCTATATGCCAGTCGAAATTGATACTTGAAACTCAAGAAATATAATTGACATCTTCTTTGAGTCTCGGATCACCAGCGGGGTTCCCTAGTCAGCATACTCGTGGGCAATCTATTGTGTAATTGCCCTTGATTCTGCATATCAGAAGGTGCACATCTTATATGCATAAATTCATATTTCAATATGTTGTGTGTGAATTTGATGACACGACTACAATTGCGATGCCCTATTCCAAGTCAATCAAGAATGGACATGTGTATTAATTTTTTCACATGAATGTCTAGACATGTTTGTAATACCCCGCATCCAATTATAGGTAAGTTTCTCTTGATGTGAATGAATCGTCAACTAGATTTTAAAAGATTTTAAGAGTCCATTCAAATAGAGGGTAGCTAATTAAAGGATTTGAAAAGACTAGATTTTATAAGATTTTTAGAATCCTAGTGCAGTCAACTAGAATTTTAACAGATTTTTGTAGAATCCATGCAAATCTGTAAGTATTTGAAAAATTTATAAAATTTGAAGGATGTCGTTCAATAAGAGATTTTGAAGGATGTGAGTAGGAATGTTAAGCATAACAAATCCTACCTCCATCCGTAGAATTTTTTTTCAACCCCTTGCTTTCTTTCCCTCTTTCCACTTTGCACCTCGAGCTTTCTTTTTCACTCTCAATTTTCTCCGAGAAACCCATCCTTCATTCCTTCTGCCATTTCACCCGCCCATCCCATCCTCTCAATATACAATCAATATATCATTATATATATGGGGAAAAATATAGCATTATATACTGTCGTATACAAAGATAGCAAAGTGGATACCTGTGGAGATAGGACTTGAAGAAGGTGAGAGGGGGCGTGAATAATTGAAGGGTTTGACTTGCACTTGCTTATGAACTCCTTCATTTCTCCTACCTTTGCAGCATCCATTCTTCTCTCTTTTTCTTTCTCTCTCTCGCTTTCTTTCTGTCTCTCTCCTCTCTCGTGAATTAGAGGAATCACTTTTCTAAAAGGTCAAAAGCTGAAGCGCTTTTACGAATGAATGATTACAGCGGAAGGTAGACTTTGGGAAGCTTAATTTGTATTTGATCCTTTTCTACTGGTGGAGGATCATGGAGGATTGGGGTTACTCAGAGACCTGGCCACAGTTCTCCATTATTTTTTTCAAGTTTATTCTTAATTTTTTTGTTTAAAAAAATAATTTTTAAAATAACAAAAAATTCTCTCAAAATTCATTCAAATCTTTAATCAAAGTCTATAAGAATTCTTAAAAATGTATTTGAAAGTTATAAGGATTCTACAATCCTTTGAATGTAAGAATAAACTAGACTTAAAAGATTAATACACTAGCCAAGAACACAAGGATTAATCAACTAAATCACAATCCTTAAATTATGTATGTAATATAAGTGTAAGAACTGCAGCAATGTTCATGGATGAAGAAGCCATGAAAACCTGCACACAACCTTCTCCTCTCTGCAAAACTCAATGCTCTCCAAGTTATAGGTAATTGGAACAATAAGAGCGTGCTTTGTGAGAGTAGGGGCTTGTGGTTTTATACTACAAGAACTGGATCGCTCTATAACAATCCCACAAGGAATACAAGACTGCATTCCTTATATCAGTATGAGTCCTATAAACGAGCAAACACATGAGTCCTCAATATACCAATATGATTGGATTAACTCTTGTCAACATGATTTAGACTTCTTTATAATATCAATTATCCCAAGACTTGTAAGAATCATACTCATACTCTTACATTCTCGCACTTGAGTATGATTCATCACAACAGATAATCATTTCAAATTATTACAAAGGTGATCACATAAGTCATTCATCAACACACTAGTACATAGACACAACCAGCTTACATAAGCCAAAACAATGAATTTATAATTGCATCTGCAACACAAAATACAGATTTAACTTACAAATCACAATGTCTAGTTCATGTTCATAGCAATGTATCTAAGCTCAAGAGTAAACCAAGACGTCTACTCCCACTCTTATAGCCCAAAATTGATATAAAAAATACCAAACATTCTTGACAGTAAGCTGTCAACTTAAAATTATTCATAATTGTATGAATAAACACACCTATGCATTTTAAAGTATTGAACTTAAGAATCTTTTTTGTTACATCGCAGAATTAACTCAAAAGTCACAACATACTTAATTTGCACTGTGTAATTATGTGAACTAATATGGCAAAACCAAACAAATTTGCTCCCACTCATCTAGGCCATACTTAACACAAACAAGTTAAGTACAAGTTAATAGCAACTATATTAACTAAAAGTCATTCCAATACAATGAATGACTAATCATAATTCATATGGAAACCAAATTCATTTCCTTTTGAATGCTAACCGACATAATAGGACCCTTCTCATTACTTAACAAATTAAGTAACACAAATAATTCAACCAATTGCTTCAATAAAACCATAAACTGGTTTTTAAGCATCCAAATGAATTATAATGCCCGGCCTAAATACTCTTAGCCTTATGCTTACAATCAAACATATGATTCTCCCACTTAAGCATAAGCAGAATGTACTGCATAGCCAATAAAGAAACCGGAGATATGAACCAATTGGTTCCCGATTCCTCACCAATTGCATAATCTCAGTTTAGTCATATACACCTAAACCATTATACAAACAGTCTATGTATCAAAAAATAGTCACAATCCATTCGGAAAAACTTATCTCACATAAACCCAAACTCACTAGTGTCAACAATGATCAAAATCTGAATTGCAAGCACAATATTTTTGCATTCAATTTGATCCTAACTAGTTTAATATCCATCAAGCAAGATCAACTAAAATTTGATACTGTTTGGACATAGAAGCACAAGTTATCTCGATTAAAACGAGATAATCAAGATCTCAACTTTTTAACAATATGATTTACATATAATAAATCTTTAACAAGATCGACATGTATCATAATTCAGTCTAGTCCAAAAATCAATTGCAAAAATACTAATTGACGCTTCAAAATCTCAAACAATTCCAATCAATAGAAAACCCATAATTTGTCAAAATTTCAAAATTAATATCTTATGAACTTTGAGATTGCATCAGATATGAATTAAAGGATACATACCAATTAATTAGCAAATTTTCATTAAGAGCAGCGGAAGCAAACAAGAAACGAAAATTCCAGACCAAATCTTGCCAATCGATGAGTTCTACTATCACAGCGAAATAGAATGCATTCTTGCCAACAAGACTTCACCAAAACAATTTATATCATTCCTTACAAGGAATAAATACAAGAACCTGCACATGTTTTCGGTTATACACTGCAAAGATTAACATTTATCGAACCCAAAGATTCCAAACTCCATCATTCATATGTACGGAAAACCACAAAACAAATTATATGTAGTCTAACCTAAACTGGGGATATGAATTACACTCTTAATTTTAAAGTCATCATTATGGATACTTGTATAATCTAATTTTGCCTTTTTTTATTTTTTATTATTTTTTATATTAAAATAATATTTCAAACCAGACCAATGCATTGTAACTATATGTATCATAAATACAAACAATGGCATCCAAATCCATTGGTTTAATATTAGAATCGCTTGGTCATTAAGCATACTTGCCCAGACAACATCAATTCATGGAGTACTCGTGCAGTCAGATTGATTCCATTCCAAATTGATATTCATCATATATGTCCCAAAACCAAACAGACAAAAGAGAACGATTGGTGTTGTATATGAACAAGTTTTATCCTCCACCAAGACTAATTTAATCAGAACCATAAACTCTTTAATGAAAAATAAAGAGCATACATAGACTAAATGTTACAATAATTTATTTATGCAGCAAAAGATGATTTCAGACATCCCACATAAATCACAAGTTGACATCCATAGGGATTTTGAGTTTAATCATGCCCTCATAGTATATATACAAATAATTAAACAGGCATAATCAAAATAGCAAAAGCCCTAATTCATCATGTTCAAACACATCACAATATAATCATGCATATAAGAAAACAATTAATCATGCATGATACAGTGAAATAAGTTACCATCATTGGATTCATATTCATCTAACCCGATTGCAATTCCTCGGCTCCAAATCAACGAAACAAATTATCTATCAATGCCTGAGACCCATCCATGCAGATTGCCATCACTTCAAATTCCCATAGACCCCATATCATTGAGAGTTAGCAATAAACCAATGTCTCGCCTCCACTTCTTGTAATTACTTCTCCAATGAGAATAAGCACACTTGCAAGATTAACTGAAACTGTAGACAATTGAAATCTCAAAAGGAGAACCAAAAGTTCTTGATTTCAATCTACTTTCACTTAATACACACTGATATGAACCAACTTAGTCATATATATAGCTTTTTCATCATGAATGAAAAGTATATATAGATTAAACAACTCATCAGTGAAGAGACAACTCTCAATGTAGATGCAGATTTCAATTTCAATTAAAACAAAAAACAATAAAACAATGAATGAGTCAATACCAATATGAAGAATCAGAAAGATAACAATATCTTCGTTCAATGGTTTTTAACAACATAATTAGTTGATCATAATACAAGTTTATTCATTACACTAATAATACAAGGAGGATTAATAAACCAAAATCATCTGAAATTCAAATTGATTACACCCCCTCATATAAACAAATTCATATTTCATATATGCTCCATGTGAATTTGATGTGAATGAACTGACATGTATTCCCCTGTGACAGTGATTGATTGATTTGGATACCGTTACAATGGCATCACAATTACAAATAAGTTTTATCTCAATGTGAGTGAGCTAAACACAGACTTACCAAAGAGCTTAAGATCTCCGTGTTCGAAAGCCGGAACTTGACCAAATGGCTGCATCACTTCAAGCAAAGAAATGTGAGATTTATTGACCATGAAAGAATGCTTGATAGTTTTGTTGTTCTTGTTATCATAGTAATCAGATACTTACATTGAGGGAAATGAAGGCTCCTTCTTGTGCTCACCAGTTCTCATGTCCATCTGAACAAGCTCTAATTCCATGTCTTTCTCATAGAGAGTAGCAAAAACTCGCATTGCACCGGTCGAAAAAACGTTCCCGTGGACCTTGATGGCAGCCATGACTCTGGAGGAATTGAGAAAGTAAGAAATTCGAGCAACTGTGATGTGATTTGGATCCTGATATGGCCTAGTCTTTATAAACCAATGATCATTGAGAAGGATCAACTGCTTCTGCAAAAGTGGCTTTTGGCACAAGCTAATTAGTTTGGGTGGGAGTTTTCAATTATTATTTATAGGTTGTTCTTCAAGAATAATATGTTAGTTGAAAAATGATAAGCGAACTGTCATTTTATTCTTCCTATACATTTTTATTTATTTGTTATTTTTGTTTAATTTATTTAATTCAATGGACTGTGAAATTCAGCTTGCTATTGGTTTTATTTTTTCAAGTTTTGGGCAAAAGCTTATGGTGTCGGCTGTTTCACCAGCTTCCCGAGGTTTTTTCTGGGGGGTTTCCATATGCACCCATTTCACTCCCTCCAGTCTTATTAAAATGCAAAAGCAAGTCCAAATACGACTTTCAGAGGAAGCAAGTGCAAGTCAAAATACGACTTTTGAAGGGAAACTTAATATGAGTTCAATTTTATGAGCTATTATTAGTTATAGTTCAATTTTGTTTAATTTTTGAGTTAGGTTCAGTGATTTTTTTATCCATATAAGCTTATTTGTATTCTCTTGCCAAATTTACCCTTAAATTGACTAATTAAGTAATTACTGTTTTTTGTTTTTGTTTTTAAAGTTGTGATTAATGTTAATCTTATCCTTAATTATAGAATTAGGGATTTACCTCTCTTTTTTTCTTTTCCTTCCCCAAACCGTTCATTTCTCTTTTCTTGTTTCAATTCTCTTTTCTTGTTTCTCCCTCACAATATCTTTCTCTTCCTGTGTTATTTTGTCTAGTAATCTTCCGTAATATTCCTCTTCTCCTCCTCCTTCCATAAGGATGATCAATATACATTTGATGGTTTAAAAAAAAGAATGCATAGTCAGCTTTTTTTTTTTTTTGCTTCTTTCTCCTTTATATATAATATATAATTTTGAAGTTCTATCGAATTAGCATTTTCTCTAGTGTTTCATCCCCCAATATCATTTTTCTTCACGATTTTTTTTGGTTTTTATCTACCGATATCACTTGTCCTTTTTTTTTTCTAGTTATTACATATTTTGTTGATAATCTATCTAAGATTAATTATGTTTATCTACCTGTACCATAGAGACTTAATATGACTCCAAATTTATGAGCCATTATTAGTTATAGTCCAATTTTGTTTAATTTTTGGATTAATGTTAATCTTATCGAGATTCAAATAATATAATTTAATTACGTCATTTAATTTACGATTAGGATGGAGTCGATGGACACACTAGAGCTCCTCGTGGAAGGATTTTTCGGTGTGCTTTGGACAAGAACAGAACACCATGTGTCATTGTATAATTGAATGGACACTTGAAAAAAAAAAATTCCTCCAATATATAATAACATGTGGAGTTCCACCATGTGTTCCGAGTGTATTGAAAAATCTCTTCTGATCATGCTCCTCCATACCCAAAAAATTATTTTTTAGGATATGCTGAGTTTTTAAACGGAGTAAACAAGTAGCAAACCTTGTCCTCTTAGTCAAAACCAATAATACTCAAACTAACAATAGGTCTTAGTTCAATATTGAGCACGGATTTTGTGAGAATAGAGACCACTATTTATATAAAATCAACCCATGTAATTCTCTTATTAGAATCCTTATATTAATACTGAACAAGTTACCTTAATGTATACAAAATGTTAAAACCAGTTTTCATACTTTCATTCAATCCTTCACAAATAAGGATGAAGTATATCTCTTTAGAGTGAGACTTTTCTATACGAAGCAAACAAGTAGCAGGCCTTTGGACTTATGGTCATGATCATATTCTAACAGAAGGCTCTTCTTGTTACAGGTTAGCCCACTCATTCGTTTGTATTTTAATTATATAACCATATATTTCTAACACAAATGACTGGTTTGGTGGAACACAAACTTCAAACACCAAAAGACATCAACCTTCGTAATGACAATGGAAGAACAACCTCAGAAATACAACAGCAGCAGTAGCAGAGTCTCGTCCTCCAACTACTTCGGGGAAACAGAAAATCAAACGAATGTTTGATTGATAACAGACGTTATTATTGTAGATCAATGACTCTAATGAGTAAGAAGCAGCAGCAGCAGCAATCTTTAGTACTTGTTTCGCAGGGCAATGACTTTGTTCCAAGCTGGCCTTGCTGTGATATCCGCTACCCATTCGCTAACATGGGGGCGGGATTCGAACAGCTTCTTCGATTGTGTCCCCATCAAGTAATGTATAGTGGGAAGGTGGTGAAGATCAGCCAAAGTGAAGCTTTCACCTGCCAAGTATTTCGACTGAGCCAGACGAGTCTCATATACATCAAGAACAGCAGCCAACTTGGCTTCATTTTCCTCCACAACTGCCGCGTCTGTGGTCATTTTAAATAGAGGCTTTATAGCTAGCTCAAAGGCCAGTTTTGAGGCCACCGGGTCGAACTTTTGGCCCTCCACCTCCGACCACAATGATATAATTGCCATCTTCTTCGAGTCTCGGATCACCAGCGGGGTTCCCTTGTCAGCATACTCGTGGGCAAGGTATTGTGTAATTGCCCTTGATTCTGCATACCAGAAGGTGCACAGCTGATCTTATATGCACAAATTCGTATTTCATATATGTTGTGTGTGAATTTGAAGGTCACGACTACAATTGCGATGCTGTATTCCAGGTCAATCGAGGACACATGTATTTTTACTTTTATCCACACGAATGTCCTTTATGGGTTTGTGATACCCCGTATCCCAATTACAGATAAATTTCTCTAGACGTGAACAAACTAAATGCAAATTTATCTTAATATAAACAATTTCATATTCATATACGCTGTGTGAATTTGATGTGAATGAACTAACATGCATCCTACTGTGATGGTGACTGATTGATTTGGATACCGTCAGAGTGGCATCCCTAGTTACAGATGAGGTTATCGAGACGTGAGTGAACTAACCACAAACTTACCAAAGAGCTTGAGATCTCCGTCTTCGAAAGCTGGAATTTGACCAAATGGCTGCATCAAATCAAGCAAAGAAATGTGAGATTTACTGACCATGAAAGGAATACTTAGTTTTGTTCTTCATGTTCTCATAGTAATCATATACTTACATTCAGGGAAATGAATGGCTCCTTTTTGTGTTCACCAGCTCCCATGTCGATCGGAACAAACTCGAACTCGATGTCTTTCTCATAAAGAGTAGCAAAAACTCGAATTGTAGGGGTCGAAAAAACGCTTCCGTGGACCTTGATGGCAGCCATGATTCTGGAGGAATTGAGAAGGTAAGAAATTTGAGCAACTGAGGAACAGGTGGTGTTATTTGGATCCTGATTTGCCTAGTATTTATAAGATAAATAATTGATTGGTTGGGAAAGAATGAGTTATTCATTATTTTTGTTTAATTTATTCAATCCGATAAAGTGTGTGAAATTAATATTATTGGTTTTATTTTTCACGAAGTATTGAGCAAAAGCTCCAAGGGGTTTTCAGATGCACATGAGCCCATGTTGCTTACTAGTTACTACTCTAAGAGCTCGTTTATAAATTCTTTTAAAATGATTGAAAATGCTTTTAGTGAAAATATTTTTGGAAAATCCTTAGTTAAAATGCTTGTAAATCCTGGAAAATCACTTAAAGTGTTTCCTGGAAGAAGCACATAACTGGTGCTTCTTGTAAAAAGCACTTCAAGTGCTTTTGAAACTCAAAAACATTTTCTTTAAAAATGTTTTAAGTCATTTTAAAAGTACATCCAAACAAGCCTTAAATTTGTAACCGTGCTTCCGAAAACTTGAGATCTAGATTCAGATAATATAATTTAATTTAATTACATAATTTAATGGGATCTTTTGATATAAGCCTCAGTTTTGAATCTTTTAGATCAAACATCCATGCCTTTTAGTGATTTGATTAAACTTTTTTTTGCCATAATTTTGGTGCTATATGCACATTATATTGTAACAAATTTCCTATAATCTAACATTTTAATCACACTCTCATCCATGAGAGATAATTATAAAAAAAAAAAAAAAAGGTTGGTTAGATTCAATTTATTTTCACAATAATGCTACAATTTAACAATAATTATCTACGATTTAAGATATTTTCTTTCCAAAATAGTTTAAAATATTTTTAAATCCCACAAAATCAAACGTACCAAAATAAGTTTTTCTTTTAGTATGTTAAGAGAAAATAGGATTGATGTGACATCCCACATCGCCCAGGGAAGGGATCCTTAAATGTATATTCCCATCCCTACCTAGCACGAGGCCTTTTGGGAGCTCACTGGCTTCGGGTTCCGTAGGAACTCCGAAGTTAAGCGAGAAGAGGGCTAGAGCACTCCCAGGATGGGTGACCCACTGGGAAGTTGCTCGTGAGTTCCCAAAAACAAAACCGTGAGGGAATGGTAAGCCCAAAGCGGACAATATCGTACTACGGTAGTGGAGCGAGCCCGGGAAGTCGTCCCACCCGGGCCGGGATGTGACAATTGATAATAACATAAACGTACCAAAACACAATGTGTACAAAATAAAACGTACCAAAATAAAAATAATGTACCAATATTAACTGTGAGAATCCGTTTTTGGTTAGGTTTCTGTGAAGTTTTAAGATCAAAAAATGGAGATCCTTTGCAAGCATCCAGGAACATCCGATAAAATTAGGGGTTTGGTGTGTGGAGATTGTTAGATGGGTTATCTTGTCAAAGCTAGGAATATCAAGGTGTGTGGTTTATGTAATGTGTTGCAAATTATACCTATTTTCAAATACCTCTATTTGAAGTCAAAGATGTTGGATTTGTGAAAATGCTTTTGGAATTATTAATATAGTGACATGTGGAATTGTTCATGGAACATGAGAACTTTAGTGTTGTATTAATCCGAGGGATAAATGTAAATTGCACACAGAGACATTAGGGCAGAATGGCCAATAGGAGTCACGTGATGAGTTACTATTTATGAAGGATATAATGAACACATAAATGGATGATATGATATGGCACTACGTGCATAATGATTTGATATTATTATTGTATTTTCTATAGTGACTAAAATGGCATCGCGTGACTAACATATTACATATTCTACTCACTGAGCGACGTGGTTGTTGCTCACCCCTCACCCTTTTATTTTTCAGATGAGTTATTTGACAAGGCAGGTGCTAAACGAGTTGAGTTTGGGTTAGACAAGGGATTTAAGAGTTTTCTTATTTTTGTGCACTCTGCAAGAATTTTGTAATAATTACTTGTATAAGAGAACCTTTGTTTTACGTTTATAGTTTTACTTTTACTTGTGCACCAGGCGTGGGGTCCCACCAACCTCGGGTTTGGGGCGTGACATTAACAATATGTATCAAAACAAACACACCAAAATTGCAAATAGATGTACCAATTAATGATTTTTGTAAATTAAAATGTACCCGCAGATAATATATATGTAATGTATTGTACCTAATAATAATTTGTCAAAAACTATACTTAAAAAAATAGCAAAAAAAAAAAAAAAATCACAAAAAAATTGAAAAATTTCACAGAGTTTTTATGCTGATCACCAACTAATTGAAAGAAAGAGAAAAACCATTTGGAAAATGAAATAATATGAAATGTTTGCATAACAAAAAAACAAAAACTCATTGAAAAAACATATCTCGAATAAAAGAAAATATAGTTTAACTACTAATATCTCTACTAAATAAGGAAAAGTGCATCATGGAGATAAAATGATAAATTCAAAAATTATTTTAATTTAAAAAAATATAATAATGATATGTAATTTAGCTTGAGGATGGTTATTGGTCAAAGCATTTTAATCAAATTTTAAAAAGTATAGATCTTTAATCTAAATAATATAAAAAAACTGTAAGGAACTATAACTCTAATTTTTCCTAATTTAATTTAAGAGTAGGCCCGGGTGGACAGTGAGCTGGTCATGCTCCTCCACCATTCAAAAAATTATTTCTTTTTTGTTAGATAGTGCACATATATTTTTTAGGATATGCCGAGTTTCTAAACGGAATAAAATATGAGACGCGGTTTCTGCGCTTGTTGTTTATTCATGTTTTTTTCAATCGAAGGAATATAATGTGTGAACATGACCTTTTTAGAAGCGCATATGAATCCATTTGGGTTGCGAAAGCGATGGGTTTGCGAGAGGTCTCTGGTGTGCTAGACGCAAGGATTTCATTAAAGTATTTGTGTTGTTCACAATGAACATGTCCTTCTGCAATATTGCGTCAACAACACTTGTACAAAGTTTGGTGGTTTGTAAAATAAAAGTAATTGAGTTGGAAAAGACTATGGCAATTGGCAACTTCCTTTGCTCTGGGCCATTGCCATTGTGCTTTCAATGAACATTTTAATTGGGGTTTTGGATTATCTTCAGGAAAACAACTTATATGTAACAGGTTTTTTATTATTGTACTCTGTGACATTCTGTCTCAGTAATACAATATCATGTAGAGAAAAACTTACCCAAAAAGAAATTATATTTTTGAATTGGGGTATTGGGTAGTAGTGAATCCGTTTGATAGAAGTCCTCATATTCTCATGCAAGGTTCTAAAAACACTAGGCGTTAGTCGGGCGGTGGGCTGGCGCCTAGCGCCTAGGTGGCTAGGCGGGCACCTAGGCGGATTTAGGTAAATTTCTTATATATTATATGAATTAATTAAATTTACCATATCAGATGTAAATAATTATTGAATAATATGTTATTTCTTATAGAAGAACATACATATATGAATGTTTACATTTCTAATATGCTTGCCTAGAAAAAAAAAAATCTAATAATTTATAATTTATATAACATTTATATACATATAATGTACATGCCAAACTTTTAAAATATAAAAAGCCCACGCCCATGCAAGTGGGTGGTTCTCATAATAAACCATCTGATGAAAGTAGCTGTCCACCTTACCTTTTTCACATTACCCAAGATGGACCCATCACCAGCTTTTGACCTTTCAGAAACTCAAGAAGAAAATTTCGTTTTTTCTTCTTTCTTTGCCCTTTAAGAAACTCAAAATTGAATCTTTTAGTCTCTCTCTCTCGGCACTTTCTCCTCTATCATCTTTGTTCTTCTTCTTCGCCCCTTCACTTTCAGAACCTCAAAATTGGATCTCAAATCCAACTTGCACCAACGCAAATTGAAATGTTTAATACTCTCTCTCTCTCTCTCTCTCTCTCTCTCTCTCTCATCCCTCATCTTCGTTCTTCTTCTTCGCCCTTTCACTTTCAAAACCTTAAAATTGGATCTCAAATCCAACTTGCGCTGCCACAGATTGAAATGTTTAATACTCTCTCTCTTTCTCTCTCTCCCTCTCTCTCTTTGCACTCTTTCTTCCCTTATCTTCACAGAGACGAGCTGTAGAAATTCGTCGGAGCTCTGCTGCTACATACGAGATATGAAGTTGTAGATCCGGTTGCGAAAATTGTAGCGAGTTTGGGATTTGCAGCTAGATTCAAACCATCTAGACTGTCGCCTAGCCCACCTAGGGCGCCTAGCGAGTGCCTTGGTGGCCACCTTAGTCATCCCAGCCTAACTGAACGTTTTGGTCTAAATTGGGTCGGAGCTCCACCGCCCAGCACCTAGGCCAATTTTTAGAGCACTGTTTTCAGTGCAAGCAATCAATTTAAAGATACAGAAAAATTAAAATTAAAAAGAAAAAATCCAGACAAAGAAAATGATTTTCATGAGTGGAATTTTCAAATGTGTAGTACATATTACACAATTACAGTAAATAAAATGCATTCCTTTCATATAATTGCCAAGCAGCTTTTAGTATGGAAAAGAATGCAAATAACTATAGTTAACAATTATTGTGATTGCCAGCTGTATATGTCGTCCCTGTAAATCAAAAGGCAAAAGCAATATATACAGAGGAATCCGGATCCAAGTTAGATCCTATTTGTGAGGATTCTGGAATTTGTGAAACGTGTCCGTTTATCGTATATCGTTTGGTCATAAATCATTTTAAATATTTTTATTTAAAATTAAACACAAACAGTGTTAGAATTCCTCTGTCCCACATCGGCCAGAAGGCTTGAGAACAAGCCCTTTAAATAGAATTACCCCACTCTAACTAACACCGAGACCTTTTGTGATAAAATCTCACACATAACAAATTGAGCAGGTGGTCAAGTGGGGACAATATCGGTGTTGTTGGAGTAGCTTGTCTACCTGAAATTTAATATGGTATTAGAGCCAGGGGACGAGCCCGTACATCCACGTGAACGGGTGGGTCCCACTTGACCCCACGTGAACGGGTAAGCCTTAGCTTGGCTCCACGTGGTTGCTGATGTGTGGAACTCCACGTGTGACCCATAAAATGGGATCTCACGTGCGAGGGAGTGTTAGAATTCCTCTGTCTACATCGGCCA